GAGACTCGGCAAGATCCTGCTCGCGCTGGGCCCTCTGGACATTTTTCTCCATAAGCTTCATCGCCTCTTTTAGCTTTACATTTTCTTCAACGAGGGGCTCCATCCTCTTGATCAGCTGGCGTCGTTGTTCGGTAGTCCGAGCTATCCCTTGCAAAAGCACCAAGACTATGAAGAACTCTAATCTCCAATGTTAAAGATGAACATTGATGATGTAATGCTAACCTTGATCTGCTTCATCACCATCGACAGGGTGGACTCCAGCCTCCTGAGCTCCCTGGTGGTGTCCTCCTCCTCAACGACCACCAATTTGTTGCCCCGCTTGCGTGAAGGATTCAGACAACTTGGGGCCGTGATTACTCATGTTCAATCTCTTCCACCTCGTCCTCCTCCACAACTGGCGGCACCACCAGAGGGCTCTGTGGCCACACAACATGTCTGACCACGCACTCTAACACCTCAGGGAGTGCCGTCTGCTCCTCTAGCACCACAGGCTTCTCTGCTCTAGATTTCGGCGTGGCATCGACAACTCCAGCATCCGCCTCCAAAGCCCCGGCAGCTTCTGTCGTTGCCCTAGGCATCATCGCTGACCCGTTTGCCATCGATGCCAACTGTTGACTGCTGCCAAGTCCACCAGTAGTGGTGGTTGATTCCTCCGTAGGACGCCGAGTGCCTAGGGACTCTAGGATGGGATCTGCCGGCATCGCCTCCACGCTAGGACCAGCCCCCAGTTGCTCGTCGGTCTGGACGAACGGGTTCAACTCCTCCATACGCCTCGCTCTGCATCAGATCAGCTCGTCAATCGCCACCGCGATGAGGATCTGACAACAAAATAACTCTAAGGCAAGGATACTTACATGTCGCCCTACCGGTACACTTTTCTAAACCGGCGCTGCCTACCCAAGCCCCTAGGCGTGGCCCTAGGGTCGACTCCCGTGCCCTAGGGTGGAGGTCTCGTGATCTTCGCCGTTGGCCTCTCCTTTGCCTGCTGCTCTGGGACTCCCCTCGCCTGCTGCTCGGGGACTCCCTCCCCTCCCTTCGATTGCTCCTCCACACGCGTGTTGCACGGAGGCGCTTCAGTGCTTGGAGGAGGAGTTATTAGAGGCCCATCGTAATCTGACCACTCGGACATCGCCGCACTCTGCGTCCAAGTGGTTCGGTCACCGCCAAGTGAGATGCCGCCTGGCTTGCAGGGAGCGGCACCTGCCGTCTTCCTCTCCTTCTGGGCTGGCTCATCTGCCGCTGCCCTCTTCCCCCAGACTTTCTCTGACACCAGGGGACGACTCTCTGTCCGACCAGCGTCCGCGCCTCCGGACTCCGATGAGGGACTAACGACACCTTCCTTAGGCTGAGTTGGTGGCCGAGAGTCTACTACCTATAGCCAATTGCCCCTCGACACGCCCGAGAAGTACACCGCTCGTTCCTACGATTGGATTTTTCCATAAGTGAATCAGTTCACTGGTCGGCAATGGTACAGGATAAAAAAGGATCAGGTTCACATAGTTGAGATGTTTACCTAAGGAGGCGGGTTCATGTAGTCAAAGGGTCTCGTCTACCCTGACATGCTGAACTAGGAAAACGAAGCGAATAGCTCTGCGGCCTGCTCTAGCACATCACCCCTCGACAGCATCTCTGTCCTCTCTTGGGTGCCGTCGGTGTCCCACTTGAGGTCAAAGCCTGCGTGGGCCCTCTCCTTGAAGGGCTGGACACAGCGCACTATGAAGCTCACCGCCACTAGTCCGCCATTCATCTTTACGCCCTTTATTTGGCTGAGGAGTTCCCTCACCTCATCCATATCAGCATTGCTTGGCCTCTCCGACTAGCTTTTCTAGCTCTCCGAGATGTGGTCGGTGTCGCAGCGGATGGCAGGGTGGCTCTGCTTCATGTAGAACCACCTAATGTTCCACCCCTTCAACGACGTGTTCAGCAGCACAGTGAGGTACTCGCCCGCCATTCCATCGCGCAGTTAAAGATACACGCTGCCGACCACCTTGGAACCACCACCGCCTTTCTTCTTCAGCCAGAAGAGGTGACAGGGGAAGAATCCTGAGATACACCTCACAGAAATGAATGAAAATTGAAATGTTCAAGATAGTGTTTGGGTGCAGGTTGCATAGACTGACTCTCTAGAACTCCAATAGATCCCTCAAGAAAGGATGAATAGGAAATCCTAACCTGTGCCAGAAGTAATCCTCAAATACTATAGCTTCGTTAGTATGAGGCATTAGGTAGGGCTCACCACTGGTCGGTCGCCATCTGGCGGTGACGCGGTCAGGAAGAACACCCGCCTCCACCATCCTGTTGAGCTCTGCCTCCCCCATGCGTGACGACACCCACTCGTCGTCATGGTTGACTCTGGCACTCGCCTTCTTCGGGTTACCAGCTCCCTTCTTCGGCACCATCTCTCAGATCTGGTTTGGGATTGGTGGTGGAAACATGTGTGAATATGAATCTGGAAGCGCGAGGGCTGAGGAGGAAGATGAAACGGCAAAGTGGCAAAGGTGGGAATGTGGGGTGCGGTGGCACAGTTATAAAGCACTCCCCCCACCTTTCGCATTCGAGGGTTTTTGGGAAACCGCTCCACGATTTGCACCTCTCCGCATTCTCTGAAATAGCGTGGTGGGCCGCTACCTAGGCTTTCGAGCAAATGTAGCCCATATCACCCATTTATCGCCATAAGTTTTTACTGCTCACCGAATATTCACCGACTTCTCCGCCATCTATTACGGCTCAGTAATTACTACTGTACAGCCATTACTCTAGTTTTTTCTCCGTGATTTGTTTTCTCCAAGATTTCCACTTGTGGCTCGGGGACTATGTCATCAATATGACTTGGTTCCTCACTGCACTGGGGACTTTCTTCTGTTGACTATTTCTGCTCGGGGACTAAGTGGGCACACTTCACCTCGCGGTGATTGTGTTTGCTTTAATTTCGAAAACTTCACGTGCTCCCGAAGCTGAAGAAGACTATCTCCCTTTCTCATGGCCGGACTTTAAGTGGGCACACTTGGTCCACTGTGAGGAAATTTTTGATTTTGAACTTGAGCTCCTTACATCCTTATGCCAAGCCTAACTTGGTTCACGCTGCTCGGTGATGGTTCACGCTGCTCGGTGATGGTTCACACTGCTCGGTGATGGTTCACAGCTGCTCGACGATGGTTCACACTGCTCGGATGATGGTTCACAATTGCTCGGCAACTCATCACGGTGGTTGGACCATGAGTTTGATTGCTTGGCTTTGTTCACACCTGCTTGGACAAGCTCAAGACAGCATTGTAGAACGGATACAAGCCGCTCGAGGACTAGCTATGGGGGGTTCGACCCTGGATACCCATGGCAGACCACATGGGCTATGCCCCTAGGGGTGGCCCAGCACACAAGATGAAGCCTTGTGGGGCACGGCACTGCCCGACGCATCCCGCAAGACATTGGGAAAATATCCTGAAGATACTATGAGATCTGTTAGGATACATATGATCCCATGATTCCTGTAATCTGTTATTACTTTCCGGTTATCTCCTAGATCTAACCGACTGGTAACCCTACCCCCGGACTATATAAGCTAGGCAGGGACCCCCTCCAAATACATGCAATATCATACGATAGATAATACAATCCAACAGACCACAGGAGTAGGGTATTACGTCATACTGACGACCTAAACCTGTCTAACTCGTGTGTCTCTGTTGCCTTCTTGTTCTCGATTACACGCATCTCTGCCAATCAATCTACCTTCGTGGGATACCCCTCGGATGACTACCGATGGTATTCTATCGACACTTCTCCACCTTGATCACATGACTCAATGACATGTCTCATGTGCAATGAGCTCCTTCATCATCACATGTGTGAGCTTGGCAACATCTCCGAGCCATTTCCACCTTCATGGCATATGTTGCTCACACACATGTACCTATGGACTAATCACCTGTGTATCTCACATAAACATAATTAGTCCACCTAGGTTGTCAATTACCAAAACCACACAAGAACCTTTCACATGGCCGATCATCAATCCAGCTAAGCCGTCCCCCTGCTGTTGCTGAATGGCCTATAGGGCCATCTACGTCGGCTGGGCCCCTACTAGCTACTTCCTGCCACTGTGCACTGCTACCCCTAGGCTGGCCAAGCCTACTGTAGTGCTGCCTCTTTGCTCCTTGGTGCATGTCCTGCTGCAGTGTGCTACTTGCCTACTCGGTTGCCGTGCCCTTTTCCCTTTCTTTTTTTCTCTTCTAGATCGGCTAAAGTTTATGAACTTGCACATTTGCTGCTCGGTCACATTTGTTACCTGGTGCTACTGTTCCCCTATTAGCTGACCAGCTTAGCCGAGCAGCAAGCTAGCTTTCCATGCCTACCCCTGTGCCATGCGCTGGCTACCCTGGCTCACTGGCCTAGCCGATCGGCCAACCAGCTAGGCTGGTTTGCCTGTGTGCCATTGCCCAACCAGCCTGGCTGGTTTGGGACCTGGCCAGGCCGGTTTGCCTACTACCCAGTAATTTTGACCCTGCTGAGGCTCGATGAAACCGGCCAAGCCGGTTCAGTCTGACTCAAACTCTTTTTTATCAGGATTTAGACGAGATTTTTAACAAAAAACTTGGAGATTATGATCTGGAGTTGTTTTCTATTGGGATAAGACCATCCCCCTCTATATATATGAGAGGATCACAACCAATTGAAGGATCCATCCCTTAATCATCAAAAAACACATCTACAAACCCTTTTATCTTCTCCTCTATCAACCTTGTTGTTCATCATGTGTCCCGGTGAGATTTGACAGCGTTATATGCGGCCTTGCTAGTCCTAGGACATCCTCCATGTGCTCCTCCCTGATGGGTCATCCCAGGAGGTGGTCGGGAGTTTTCTACGCAAGGAACGAGCCCAAAATCGGCCTAACCAATCTTTAGATCGGTTTCATCGGTTCGCTCACATTCTTCCTGGTTGTGGGTTGATTTGCAACCCCTAGGATTGCTAGACCTGCTGGTGTGTGATTCGGTTCACATCCAATGTCAACATACTTTTTGCCCACTCCACTGGGGAAAGCGAAGCAATCCAAGATTCAATCTACTAGTGACATGGGAAACAAGGGTGACGCTGTAGGTGAGAAGGGTGACAAGACTAACGTTGCTCATGATGCTAACATCAACCATCCCAAGACCATTGAAGAGCTTCCCGAGGAGCTAAAGCAACAAGTGGAGGCCAAGTTCAATGCCGTTCTGAAGGCTTTTCTTCAGATTTGCACTAAAGATCGGAGGGACAAGGTCACCCAATACAAAGAGCCAGATTTCAGCGAATTGATCAATTCTACATCATCCACACACGTTGCACCTGAGGTAAGGACCACCGACAAACCCAAGTATGACGATGATTCATATGTTGATCCTTATCCCACGCATGCCAATTATGCTACCATGATGGATGATCATAAGAAAGTAATTGATAATAGTCTTTTAGCTGCGGTAAATATGATCATGGCTCGTTTTGATAAGTTGGAAGGGAAAACAACCGATGGTGATCAATCAGGTGTTGCTTCTACTTCTAAACAACCTAAATTTGGCATGCCTTTAAATTTTTATGAGAATCAAGGATTATATGCAGTAGCAAACAAAGGCAAATCAACCCCTTCGGCATCTGAAACCAATAAGGCCAGTTTAGCCAGTGTTGCTCCATCTTCACAATTGGTTATCTATGATCAAAATTCGGCTCAAAACACACGAACCGATCAAAGATCAGCAGCAAACCAAGCTTTGGTAGGGCAAAACATGGTTCTTCCTAACCCACTGAACTCACCAAGTCAAATTCTTTGGTTTGATAGTGCTCCTGCAGCTCCCGTTATCGATTTTAGTGATACTTTAAATCAGTTTAGAGAAGAATTATCTAAATCACTTGAGGAAAGCTTGGGTGTACAAATCAAGCCTAGTAGGACTACATACCGTAAGTTGTATCCTTCGCATTTTAATTTCATGAAAGCACCTGATGGGTGGAGTGTACCAGATTTTAATAAATTTAGTGGTGATGATAGTAAATCAACCATGGAGCATATTAGCATGTTTCTTGCACAATTAGGTGAAACTAGTGCTTATGATTTTATGAACGTTCGTAATTTTCCTTTATCTCTTACTGGCACAGCTTTTGCATGGTTTACTCCATTACCATCTTGTTCTATTGGTTCATGGGCTGAGCTAGAAGAAAATTTTCATAATCACTTTTATAATGGTGCTCAAGAAACTAGATTGTCTCATCTTGCATCGGTTTGTCAAGGGCGTGATGAGCCCATCCTTGATTTTTTTTTCAAACGATTTAGAGAAATCAAGAACCGATGTTTTCATTTAATGATTTCTAAAAGAGACTTGACTGATTTATGTTTTGCTGGCCTATGTCCTAACATTAGAGAGAAACTTGAGCATTATGAGTTTGTTAACGTTAATCAATTGTTGCAAAAGGCCGTTTCAGTTGAATCCCCCTCAAAGAGTCTCGTGATACTTATAGGTCACATCGTCCGAATGTGCATGTTATAGATGGCTATTCCGATAGCTCGGATGATGAAAATAAGAATCCTATGCTGCTGAAATTAGATGGCTAGCAGAAAAATATTAGTTACATGTCCTTCTCTCAAGCCGATTCATAAGAATCAGAATGAAGAAGTGAAGTTTACTTTTAATGTTCCTAAATGTGACCGAATCTTTGATGAATTACTTAGATTCGGTTATATTAGAATTACTCATACATTGCCATCACCTGTGGAATTGAAAAGGAAAGCTTATTGTAAATATCATAATTCTTTTTTGGATGTCACTAATGATTGCAATGTTTCCCGCCGGCAGGTGTTGGTATATTTAACGGACATAGATAAATCCATAAGTGCACGGAAACCATTGTAGCTTTCATCCGGAGGTATTCCAAGTATCGTATCCACAAGGAAACGTGTGAGACTAACTATGGTCTAACTTAACTAGGGGTAGCAACAAGGTTAGGATAAATAGGAGCGTAGAGAGGATTACTAGGGTTCTCTAGTTCTAACTCGGGTAAGCATATGTCTTCAACTATCCAACTGGAGACATTACTAGGGAAAGACACCAGCAGAGCATGCATTTATGATTAATACATTACTCCCCCTATGTAGAGAATAAAGCACTCAAAAGAGTCACAAACCTGATGAACAATACAAACAAGATGCTTAATTGAATCAGAAGTTGATTACCAGAGAAATATCAGAAGCAAGCTCAGGTAGAACTTGAATCCACCAAGGTACAAGCCATAGAGAGAGCACCGACAGGCCGACACCTCCTCCAAACTCTTCCCTCACTCTCTATCTCACTATTTCTAATCATAAGACTAAATCCTATGGAGGACTAATCTTCTCTTGATGGCTGGCTCTGATCCTCATGATATGAATTAGGGTTTCAGGGATCTGTTGAGGGAGGAGGGTAGGGATTGGTATATATAGGCTGGAGCATCAATTCTGGACCCTCAGATCAAACCGACTTGAAAGAACGGCGTAGATGCAATCTAGGAGACGGTGGGGAACCAACATTTGAATCAAAGGCTGACCGGTGGGACCTATAAGCCGGCTGGCCTGCAGGTGGAGCCGGCTGACCCCACATTGCAGCCCCTCGGGGTATGCTTCGGTGGAGAGCCTCCTGGAGTCTTCTAGGATCTTCCCACACTGTTTACGTGGCGGAATTTCATAATTTCCTTTGACGAATAGGCCCCCCTTGATGGTTGTCTCGATAAACCCTACTGAAAACACACATTCACCAAAACTCGTTGAATTTATTAGTTTAAACCCCTATACCTATGTTTGGTGATAGAATTAAACATATATGCAGGTTATGTTGATGGTTTATAATTGATGTTAGTGACCATCAACAAGCTCCCCCAAGCTCAACCTTTGTCAGTCTCTATGCAAAGCTAAACTCAGCAATGGATCAGGAGTTGCTACAATGCTTTCACGCCTCAAAAGTACACATGCGTTCAATGAAAAACTCTCTTCCAGATTAGAATAAACTGATCTGACTTTTAAACTTACCCATATTACCTTCAACCATGGGGCTTCTCAGCCTTCACTTGGGTTTTGAGCAATTAAAAGACAAAATGATCAAATCAAGCACTATGTCTCGAGTTCTTTGTTCAACCATTGTTCTAGAGTTTTTATAAGTTTTTAAAATAAAACTCAAAGATTCCATTGTATGACACTCTCAAGTCTCTCAATATATGTGGTATTTGTGGATCCTCACCAAGGCAAAAATAATGTTATGCCTTTTCTCTTCCAGCCACTAAGGCTTATGTGGAGTTCATAGGTAGGGAGAAAGCTAGAGCATACTTGCAATGCATATATTGTAAAGTCAAACAATGGATCCAAAGAGAGTTGAGTCGTACAATCAAATCAAGATGTGCATGTGTGAGGATATGTCGTGGATATATATGGTGGCTAACCTAATTCTACTTTGCTCCTTGAAAACATATCTCTTTCTTGAAACTTGGAAATATTTTTGCGAAAGAACAGGGGCTATCTTATTCATATCTTTCTTTTTTTCTTCTCTTTTTTTAGGCGGGCATCTAAGTACCCATTGTCTTCAATATCTCAGACACTTGTCCATTTTTTCCAATACTTTATTTTTCTCTCTTTTTTTAATGAATAACTTTTGCATAGCCCCATGCCTCTTTTCTGCAACAAAACTTTTGAGAGATAGTAACAAGAACTTGGAGCATTTATTTGGTGAATGGAAAACCTAACAAGCACATTTTTGTGTTCACCCCTAGTGTAGGAGTAGAATATTTTTGGGTGAATCTAGATGGAGGGCATGTTTTTGCGCTTACCCCCAATGTAGGAGTAGTGCATATTTGGGTGGTGTGTACGTGATCTTGATTTTAAGAGCATGACAAACCTCTCATAAGGGTCAACAAAGCTTGACAAAACTCAATGCAAAAGCAAGCAGCATATATGTCGAAGTTTTCCTAGCCTAATTAACATGTATGGCTCTGGTGGGAATTAAAGCTTTATCATACAGGAATTCATCATGTAGTATTTTTGTGTTTTTCAAAAGATAAATCTCTAAAACTTTAGTGTCACTTGGAACAAGATAAACAACAGCTCAGACCTTCTCATATCATATCCGTCAATTACCTAGACTTAGATCAAGCATATGCTACCCTCGAGTTTCAAGTTCAGAGTAAATCTTTATATCAAATCAGTTTTATCCAAAACTCGGGAGAATTCAAGGCTAAAAACTAGACACTTGAAAGGAATTAAAATGGAGCAACTATTCATCATTTCTCTTTAAGAGATTATTCTAAGTCCTCTTTATTTTATTCAGCTCTCAAAAACAAATTAAATCAAACTAGACACACACACCTTTTTTGATTTTACTAGATCACATATTATTACTACAACTATATATATTTATTATGAGGATAACTTTTTATTTTGTTTTCATTCATCATTTTTTAACTATTTAAAAGAAACTAAAAACTAAAACAAATGGAGAAAGAATACTTACGTGGATACATGGGAGTGCTTCTCCCCAAGCTAGCTCTTTTGGTGAGGGTTTGGTGTCTTAAGTCCTTCGAACCGGACTTCTCCTTGTGAAGTTCATTGATCGAGTACCTCGGTTTGTTCTTGAAGACAAAGATTCTTGTGATGATGCCTCTAATAGTGATGTCACCTTCTTCCGTCGAACCTATCTTGGTTTTGAGTTTTGATTTTGGTTTAACAGGTTCAGGACCTTCACTTGTAGAAGTTTGGGGAATCGACTGTCTTGCCGCACACTTTGCTTGAAGTGTGTCCTGCTCATAAAACAAGGTAGAAATCAAGTGCATGGGCTCCATTGGTGGGAAAACACCAACAGAACCAAAACTTTACTTATTCTAGAGATATGATGTGCAATATTTTAGCTCAATTGGTTAAAACTATGAGATCAAGAAAATAGTGCTAGGAACAAGCTTAAAGAATATGTTGAGTTAGTCAGGTTAGATCAAGTAATGGAGTTGTAACCCAAACATGTTTTGTTTCTTATTTATATGCATACCAGAATCAAGGAAAAGCTTTTTGAATAATGACCATTTACCTTAGAATGTTACCTTTGTCATTGGAGTGTGGAGACACCCTATGATGATGGGTAGATGACTCGTGATGATCCTTCCCATTTTGCTTGAAGTTTTCCTTGTTCAGCTAGTCTCGCATCTTGAGCTGTTCATGAGGTTCTTTCTCTCCTAGGTTGCACCCTTTCTTTCTCATCCTTTTGTCATGCCATCTTTCTGCTCTTTGATCTTTGACACTTTGTTAGACCTTCCGCCTCACTCATTGTTTTATGCCTGCAAAGGATTAGTGGACAACACATACCCGAAGGAATATACAATTTTGAAACATGGGTTGTTTGTCCAGAATTTTGTAATTTCCCTCTATGCTAATGAAAAGATGGTTTTGGGATTACTTTAGTATAGAGATCATGTTTTATATAGGCATCGCTCAAGGCAAAGGTAACTTGCAGCAAAAGACAAAGTGAATGAACTTTGGTACTTATAGTTCTTTCATCCATGTTGAATGAGGTGTAGTTCTTACATCTATGATGAATGAGCTGTGTCTTCTTGTGCAAGTTATTGAAGTTCATCATGTGCCTTGCTTAATCTCCGATTTGAATTCATCTCGTGACTTACCCAAATTGAATTAAGAGTTTCCTATAGGGGTTAGTCCAACAAAATAGCCAGTGTCTACATAAGCAATTTTTAGATCAATAACCAAACTAAACCCCATGTCTAGTTTTAGTTAAGGAAGGCATAGCTTGACAACATTTTTCATAAAAAAGCAACTAATTCAGTTGTACAATTATAATTCAGTCATCAAGTTAATTATAGCTATTCACCTCTAGATTAGCAACTAACCTATGCCAAACATATGGTATATCATTTTAGTAGCATACAATAGTAACCATAGCTAGTGTAGTAATTCCATGTTCATCCGAACCATCATATTTCCTAACACAGTTACTATGATGTTGGAGCTAGCCAAGTTTCTCACTGTCCAGGAGAGACGGCGATTCAAATCAATTTCAACCAGCTGGGAATTTATTCCTAACACAAACCTAGGTAGACCAGATCAACGGTCACCTTAGGTCACCTTTGGTACAACTTACGTCCACATTTCGTGGGTTCGCCCAATGCTGCACAATCAGAGACAACCGGCTGCTAGGACGTTCAGGCCCGGCCTACCCTTGGGCTCACATCTGGCTCCCCGCACATCCTTACTACCATCCAGAGTGCGCACTCTAACAGAACAGGGCCCGGCCTAAGTTGAGCTACTCAGCTTCGTGGTCAAAACGAGTTATCCGGCCAGCTAAGTGAGAGGCATGTGTTCAATCTTGTCAGAAGTGCTAACAACGGTACGGTCCTTAACCGGCATAGACGAAATCACATGAGTCCACCTACACATAGACTCCACCTAGCCTCCATTTACATTACCCCATGGTTCTTTTCCACTATAGCAAATATAGCCAACCGTGCTTCGATATCCACCTATATC